GTTGACTCATATTCAATTTGTGGTCTACTAGGACTTCTAGATCCCTTTCACGTGTAGTCTCATTGAGCTAGGTGTCCCCCATCTTATATCTATGTATTTCATTTTTTGCCCTAAGTGCAATACCTTACATTTCTCTGTGTTGAAATTCATTTTGTTAGCTTTGGCCCAGCTTTCTAATCTATTAAGATCATTTTGAATTTTTATCTTGTCTTCTGGGGTATTAGCTATTCCTCCTATTAATTCTTAGAGTTTTAAAGAGATGATTCCCCTGCTCCAGAAAAGGTGTTCCATGCATGAAAGCAGGTTCCTGCTGAAAAGTTGTGCTGACATTTGCTAGATATTTGGTGCATACATAAAAGAAGCTCTAGGTTGGGTGGTTAAACAAGCTAACTCATGCATTGTCAGGGGATGTGCACATGATGAGCTTTGCTGACTGGATCCATGGTCCCATTTCCCAACACAGTAGGGTGAGCAAAGTGCACTCCTCCAGTTGTTGGATTACAATTCCCATCAGACCAAGTCAGCATAACCAACAACAAGGCAGAGGACGTTATCACACGTGGGCCAGAAAGCGATAATAAAGTGGAAATGAGGCATTCCAAAAATAAACTGAAAATAAACCTTGATTCCACAAATGGCTTTCACATGTAATTACCTTAATTGTGAAATTACAGTAAGCGCATTTAACGTTCACACACAAGTGAGAAAAGCCCATAAATGTACTGGAAATGATCTTCTTGCACATGCGCAGATAGAGGAATGCTCGCTGGAACCATGGGAAAAGCAGGGAAATGCTCCCAAATGCGCATTTGCTTTTCACATTACGGTAATGTAATTTCGCAAATGCATTTCCTCAAAACTACCGAATTTCAAAAGATCTCGGATAACACCAGTTTCTGTCCAGTTTCTGTGCAACGTCGTGTGAAATCGTGAGGCACAAATCCAGTTTCTGTTTGGGATTTGTGTGGATTAACCAGCAGATTTCCCCTGTGTGATAACGTCCATACTGTGTTACTGTCCAACAACATCTGCAGAATCACATTATGGTCATTCCTGCAATAGATGATTGCTAAATTCTCACGGTATGGATTATGTGTTTAAGGAGTGGCAAGGAATTGATTCCACATTGTGCTCCTAGAATCATAGAGTTGGAAGAAACCTCAAGGGCCATCCAATCCAACTCCCTGCCATGCAGGAACACACAATCAAAGCAGTACCAAGAGATGGCAATGCAGCCTGCTCTTCTGTTAGTTACAGAACTGACTGCACCAGTCACCGTCTGCCAGCCTTAATAATAAGGACACAGAATCATAGAGTTGGAAGAGACCACAAAGGCTATTCAGTCCAAACCTCTGGCATGCTGAATTACAGTTCAGCAAAAAAGTTAAACATGGCTAACTCTCTTTTCAATTGTGGCAATGGTGTTTCTGTCATTTTTAAAAAGAATATGTATGTCTCATCATCAACATACTGCCAGAAATAGTGCACATTAAATTGAGGCACTGCCCTGGCTCAGTGCTAGGGAATCATGGGAATTGTATTTTTTTCTGAGACATTGAACCTTCTCTGTCAGAGAGC